CTGTACCACAGGTTTTTCGAGTTCGAGTCCCGGCATTGCCATGGGTATTTGTAGAATAAGGTTTTGGAATCCACTTTAAACTGTAGGTCCCGGTCTAATAGGATCGTAGAGCGTTGCGGGGGCAGTGTTACTCCGCGTTATCTTCAAGTTACACGCGCTCCCTGGGTAGCGCAAAGTGAGTAACGTCGGTGCAGCCCTTATGGCATAAAAGATCACGGTCTATTTGCCAGCTGCTTTAGAAAAAAAAAATCTACAGAAAAAAAATTTCAAGCTGTCTAAACCCTGTAATAAAAATGATCAAGTTGTCTCAGTATGCATCAGTTTCAATTTTTAAATACATAATGTGAAATTTTGTTTTTAAAAGAAAGGGTTTTCAGGCTTTTTAAAATATTAAAAAATGGAATGTGATACTTCGTCAAATTTAACATTCGAATATTAGAAAAAAAGTAAACCAATAAATATTAGAAAAATATTTTATTCAGTGTTGCCCATATATATTTTGTGACACTTAAAATGTCGCTTTCTTGATTTATGGCATTCTTAATTTCTCTGGTTATTTCTATTCTAACCTCCATAACTAGTGAATTAATAACTTTTACACCAATTTCACTTAAATTATTATCTTTACAACACTCACATATACATACATCAAAAAGTTTCCAGCTGTCTTTACTTTGCAATATGCATCCGCAGATCTCGGACTGTCTCATTATACATCAGTTTTAATTTTTAAAAACATAATGAGAATTTTTCTTTTTTTAAAAAGAGTGTTTTCAAACATTTATAAAAAAATTAAAACATGAAATGGGATTTTTCTCTGAATTTAACATTCGAACATTAGAGGGTTTTTTTCTAATGCAGATGGTAAATACGCATTAGAAAAAGTAAGTCAATAAATATTAGAAAAAATATTTTATTCAGTGTTGCCCATGTCTATTTTGGGGACATTTAAAATGTCGCCGTCATTATTTATCACATTTTTCCTTTCTTTGGTTATTTCTATTCTAATCTCCCATAACTAGTGATTCTAACCTCCCTAACACACATAAACAAACAAATTTCAAGCTGTCTTTACCCTGCAACAAAGATGCGCAGATCTCGGGCCATCGCATTATGCATCAGTTTTTATTTTTAGGAATATAATGAGAATTTTTTTAAGAAAAAGGTGTTTTCAGACTTTTATAAAATATTAAAACATGAAATGTGATTGCTCCCTAAATTTAACATTCGAAAATTAGATAAAGTAAACCAATAAATAATATAAAACATATTGTAAATAAAAACAAAAATATATTGCCTGTAAATTTGTTTGTAATGTAACAACAAATTACATTATAAATAAATTTATCTTTATTTCCTTTTTTTTTTTTTTTTTAATTTTTTTCCCGAGTTAATAATATTTATTAACATAATAATTGAGTAATTATTAAATAATTTATTAAAAAAATTAATTTAGAAGAAAAATTAATCTAAAATTGTGCTAAAATATCGTCTGATGAAAGCAAAGAGAATTTTATTTCAAAATGAAAACGAGATTTTTCAAGCAAAGAAAATCGTTTGGAATTCTAGAGTTTTTATTTTTTAAGATTGCTGTTGTGTGTTTTGTTCTTGCATTAAATTCTAAATTTTATTTGTAACCTGTATATCGGCCCAGCAGATTATAATTTTTTTATATTTTTTATCCGAGTAATAAGATACACTTTATCACGTTGCATTGCTTTTTAAAACAAATCAAAATGCAGTTTTATGAGATATATAGTAGTCAGTAGAAGTTAGAAAATAATGATGTTATCAATATTTATTTATTGTTGAAATTGTTTGCAGGAAACGCACTTTAGTTTCTTATTTTGCAGGAATAGTGAATTTAGTTTCTTATTTTGCAGGAATAGTGAATTTAGTTTCTTATTTTGCAGGAATAGTGAATTTAGTTTCTTATTTTGCAGGAATAGTGAATTTAGTTTCTTATTTTGCAGGAATAGTGAATTTAGTTTCTTATTTTGCAGGAATAGTGAATTTAGTTTCTTATTTTGCAGGAATAGTGAATTTAGTTTCTTATTTTGCAGGAATAGTGAATTTAGTTTCTTATTTTGCAGGAATAGTGAATTTAGTTTCTTATTTTGCAGGAATAGTGAATTTAGTTTCTTATTTTGCAGGAATAGTGAATTTAGTTTCTTATTTTTGCAGGAATAGTGAATTTAGTTTCTTATTTTGCAGGAATAGTGAATTTAGTTTCTTATTTTGCAGGAATAGTGAATTTAGTTTCTTATTTTGCAGGATAGTGAATTTAGTTTCTATTTTGCAGGAATAGTGAATTTAGTTTCTTAAAAAAAAATTTATTCGTATTTTGCAGGAATAGTGAATTTGGCTTTGTCATTTTGTATTGGCGCCCTCCTGACTTGTCTTTCACCTTCCGCCATTGCTATATGCCTTCTGTCGGCTTTTTTTAATTTACTCGTCCACATGCGTTTTTTCTTGTCTCTTGAGGTAAAAATAAAACGTACTTTCATGATTTTATCTCCCATATTCCTCCCTTTATATTTAAAATAACTGTTTATTCCTTTCTCATACTACTGAAGTTGCACGTATTATTTCCTAAAAACAAATTTATGATACGCTTCTTCTTCTTCATTGGCGCAACTACCTCATGATGGGTCAAGACTGTTTGCATACTGCCAGATTTCGAGACAGGAAATAATTTTCTTTTTTACTGGGTAGGATTATCACCTTTACGCTCAACAGTGATGTTAGACTGCGACCTATTGTCTGAAGTGAATTCCGAACCGCTACAAACATCCATCGCACCATTGAGACTCGAACTGAAACCTGTGGCACCGAGTGTCACTCTATCGGCCATCAGGTCCCTATGATATTATTAATGCTTAAAAAATAATTATAAATGATTATTGCGCGTCATACGCAACGCCTTATAATTCACTCTGAGAAATAGTTAACATTTTTAAAGTGTAATTCGTGAATTATTGGAAAGAAATTTTAAAGCTTTATTTACACAATTTCTGTAATTCTAACAGTCTGTAGTGCTGACAAAGAAGAAGAAAATAGCAATATTTATGAACGAATCGCGGCATTTTTTTTTCCTTTCCAATGTGGTCCTCTAGTGCTTCTTTCCTTCCAATGCATTTAAAAGGTTTGGCATTTCTTCTTAAAATGTAAAGGAGATTTCTGTGATGTTATAAAACACAGTTGTTGTTGTGTTAACACTAATCCTCAGTGTCCTGCAGTGTGGGACGGACATCCCATGAATAATCTACTCACGGATAGAGGGAAAGGAGGCAGTTTTTGCGATGGAGCACCCGTAGGTAGAAGTCTGACTTGTCTGCGCGACGCTCTTACAGTTGAGACCGGGACCTAAAGTAGATTCCGAACCACTACAAACATCCATGAAATCTTTGGTACCGAGTGCCAGAGCACTAGACACTCAGACATTCAGGCCCACATAAAACACAATTTACTAATATTAGTAGTCAATCTTTACTTTTATTTTTTAGCAATTACCTTTACTTTTAGAACCATAAAAAAGCAAGTTATAGAATATAACGAAAATAAATTTAATATTAGTTAATTATATAAGCATATAGAAATATTTATTAGCGTAGTAATTTACGCCAACAAATATTTCATTCAAAAATAAAACATTTGTATTTAAGGATTAAACATCGAAAAGCTAATAAGATAAACGTAAACAACATGAAATAGAAAAGGATTTTTTTGTTAGTAAATTAAATGTTATGTATTTTGATTCACCTAATAACAATATTCTATTTGAATTAAGGACTAATTTGTCTCTGTTCAGTTGTGGTATAAGCTGGAAAAACAATAGTAAAGAAAAGCAGAAAAAAATAAGTTGAATCATTCTATTGCTAATTTAACCATAATTATTCATCTAAAATTTTTCTAAAACGTACAATCTAAGATAAAATGTTCATAGCAGGAAATTAGAAAATAAGCAATTTTACAGCATAATCATCTTTGATTTATTTTTCAGCAATTTATTATTCAAATTTGGTTTTATCATAATTATTCTGTAATCAGTTATAAATAAACAGAGAAACTAGATTTTTCTGTTTGCTTTTATTATATTTCTCATAACAGTATGACGCGATGTTGCCTAACTTCAATTATTCAAATGGCGTACTATTCTCATTCAAGTACCTCATTCCAACAAATAATGTAATTGAATCTCGAGCTATTTGAATATGTATTGATATTCAAATAGGCTTTGCAGACTCATCCAATGATATAAGAATAAATAGGAATTTGTATTGTTATTATATTACTAGCTGGTGCAATCTAATTTTGCCTGGCTTTAGTGAAAAACGTAATGTATTGGATAAGTTTTATTGGAAAAAATATGAATAAAGATTGTAAATTGGGAATTCAGAAAAATTCCGAAGCAAAAGGTGTTCATTGTATTATACAATCTCATAGCTTCATATCTGTAAGATTGATGATAAATTGTTTACTATTGGTAGTGTTTGAAATTTTTTTCAATTAATTAAAATGGCTAATTTAAAAAAATTAAAATCATGATTTTTGTATCACAACAGAAGATAACATAAGGAATTGTTTAAAAGTCATCATTAAGTTTTTATTTAAGTTTATTATTAATAATTTTTTATTTGATTTTATGTATGGACCAAGACATTTTGCCTTTTAATGCTGATCGAGGATACTTACTTTTATACTTACTTTTAATGATTGTTGTTGTTTCTTATCCCACTTGGCTGGCCAAGCCCACGAGCCCATATGGACTCATGACTGAAGGGGAAGGAAGCAGCTTCTGTTGGGATGGAGCACCCGTAGGTAGAAGCCTGACTTTTGCTCCGTGACGCTCTTACAGTCATAGAAGACCGGGACCTACGGCTTAAAGTGGATTCCGAACCACTACAAACATCCATGGCACCGCCGGGATTCGAACCCGAAACCTGTGGCACCGAGCGCCAGAGTGCTAGACACTCGGGCATTCAGGTCCCAAATTTGCCAACGGCACGCGGTGTTCCCAGGTGGTCACCCACCCAAGTACTGACCGCGCCCAATGATGCTTGACTTCGGTGATCTAACGAGAACCGGTATATTCAGCATGGTACGGCCTTTTAATGATACCAATACAATAGCTACGAATCTGCTAATAGAGGGCTAAGAGGACGCTCATATATATATATATATATATATATATATAATGTGTGTGTGTGTGTGTGTGTGTGTATATATATATATATATAGGGGGCTATATATCTATATGTAGGGCTGATGGCCAAGTGGCTAGCGCTCTGGCTATCGGTACCACAGGTTTCGGGTTCAAAACCCGACGGTGCCCATGGGTGTTTGTAGTGGTTCGGAATGCACTTTAAACCGTAAGTCCCGGTCCTAATAGGATCGTGTAGAGCGTGGCGAGGGCATTGTTACTCCGCGTCCGTGGCTTACCTTCAAGTTACACGCGCCCCTTGGGTAATGCGAAGTGAGTAACGCCTGTGCAGCGCTTGCCTTAAGGCATCCAAGACCAAGCTGTCTAAGTGTTTGCCAGCTGCATTAGAGAAGAAGAAAAAAGTATAAAGGCATATATGACACAGATACATATGCTTAATTTTATTTTAGTAACACTTGTCAAAATAAATATTGCAGTTGTTTAGCTTGAATAAAAGTGTTTAGGGTTGGAAAACACCCCGTTATTTTTATTGGTAATCAGCTATTTTATATTATAATTTATTGCATACATTCATTTTCAATTAGACTTAATTGGAAGTAAACGATAACAGAGATTGATTTTTTTCTTTCTCTTCCTGTCTCATCTTAAAATCCACGGACCTCAATACCCCAAAGTGCCATTTTTTTCCCCAGCATGAGTGTCTACGTGTTTTACAAATGAACATCCCATTGACAGATGATGAAGACAAGACATGTCCTTTCGGGAGGACTATTAGGGATAATTGGCCTTTCCATATTGTATGGGAGGAAACCTGGAAAACTCCTAAGTCACCTGATTATTAATGTGAGTCTCTGTACATGCATCTCATAATCGCCATGGAATCTCTCTTTTAGGAAAGCATGAATTGCAATAATGTCTTCAATACTTCAGCTCAGCTGCACGCTAGCTGTGCACCTCATTTTAAGAACTTATGATCTGTTTAGTTTGATTATGTACATTGCTGAGCGCTCAGTGTCACAGGTTACGGGTTCGTGTCCCGACTTTGCTGTGGATGCGTGTAATGGTTCGGAATCCACTTTAAACCGTAGACCCTATCTAATGACTACTACTACTACTACTACTACACCACACCACATCACATCACTGTGCCTAGAGCTGAGTTGCCCCTTTACAGTTTTGGGAATGATGTGGATGAGAAGTCTGATTGGGCCCTATGACGCTCTACGGTCATATGAGACCGAAACCTACTGTTTAAAGTGGATTCCGAACCACGACAAACATCCATGGCACCACCGGGATTCAAACCCGTAACCTGTGGTACCGAGCGCCAGCTTTCTAATATAACTGTAGAAAGTTGACAACCCTACAGTATGAAGTACTAGAATTACAAAACCCTGCACAACCTGCCATAAGCGGACGGCCATGGGGCTATTGCGCCAACGAAGAAGTATATTGCAAATGTGAGACGACATGGCCAAGATGTCTAGCGCTCTGGCGCTCTGCACCACCGGTTTCGGGTTCGAGTCCCTGCGGTGCCATGGCTATTTGTAGGGGTTCGGAATCCACTTTAAAACTGTAGGTCCCGGTCTCATATGATCGTAGAGCGTTGCGGGGGGTATTGTTACTTCGCGTCCGTAGCTTATCTTCAAGTTACACGCACTCCGGGTAGTGCTTATGACATAAAAGATAATTGTCTGCCAGCTGCATTTGATAATAAAAAAATAAAATAAAAAAAATAATAAAGAATAAAAACCCATTGCAAAGGCTACCTCTCCTTATTCCCGTCTTTACAAACGGACAAGGGACATTTGACCTATTAAAGCAGTGCTTGTATTTTACAAAAGGGTCAGCAAACTCAAAGACTCCGGTGGATTGTGTGTGGGGGGATACATAACCCCCAAAATTAATTTGACACAAAAATGAGTGCACACAAACACATTTCGTTACGTTTGATAATGCAGGAAGATGAGGCATGTCGTAAATTCGTGGAAGTGGCATGCAGAACCACCAATGGAACCCAAAACCTGTGGTACCGAGCACCAAAGCGCTAGCCACTCAGCCATCAGAAGTACATTGCAAATGCTAACTCTCCCTTTACCCTTCTTTATGAACTGGAGCAAACGCCTTTGGCCCATTAAAGCAGTGCTTTTGTTTTATGAAATGGTCAGGAAGCTTAGCAGGTTGTCAGGACTTCGCTAGATTAGGGGGAAAAGTACATAATGCAAAATATTACTTTAACACAAAAATGAGTGCACGAAAAAACATTTCATTACAACACTACTGCTGTGTCTGTATTTGGTGCTTGCAAACCATCGATTTACAATTAGAGACTTTGCTGGTGATGTTGGAATTTCAAAAGGGTCGGTCCATTCCATTTTGGACCTCAAATACGCCACATCTCGATTGGTACCGAAAACACTGAATGAGCCAGCTCACTCACTCTGCATTGATTCTTCGTGACCTTTCGTCAAAAATGAAACCCATATCGTTCTACAACCATCGTATTCACACCGTGCGACTTCTAGCTATTCCCTAAACACAAAAGACCACTCCGGGGACGCCGTTTTGAGTCGATTGAAGAGATTCAAAGTGAATCACAGGGCGCTTTGAAGGCCATGCCTGCCGATGACTTTTTACCGTGCATTGAGGATTGTAAAAAAAGTTGGCATAAGTGCATTGTGACCGGAGGGGATTACTTTGAAGGCGATGAAATAAATTTGGAAGAAATAAATAAAGAGTTTTTGAAAAAATAAAATAATGGGTCTTAATTTTTGAGCACTGTAGTATGTTTGATAATGCAGGAAGATGAGGCATGTCGTAAATTCGTGGAAGTGGCATGCTGCAGAACCACCGCTGGAGTGACGAGGCGGCTCCTAATTAGGCGTGTCTGGCCTCTCTTTCGTCACGCGCCTTAATTTGTTTGCGTTCGGGAATTATTTACGATGCATTTCATCTCTCTGCGCATCTGCATGGCATAAAAAGGCGGATTATTATGAATGTCTTCCTTGAAATCGGACGTTCTGCTTTCGCCACTTTGCCATGAAAGAGGCATCTGTTGGAATGAAGAAGGTCGCTTGATGGAGCGGTTTTTCGTGGAAATGTCGTAAAATGTCGATTTGCCTATCTAATTTGAATCAAATACCTCCATTCAATAAACGGACATGCGCAGTTGATTGCACCACTTTTCAAAATAATCATGGTTTTTCTTCCTTTTATTAGCTTACACTCTCCCTATATATATCTTGTTCACATTTTCAATCGTTCATAAAACACTGTTAAAACCCTCTAACAACAACGACAATAAATTCCCCTTTATAAAAAAATTTTTTTTTTCGTTGAATTCTATCTGAAATTTAATTTTATTGTGTTTAAGTTAAAACTGGTGAAGGCAGTATACTAATTTTTGTTTGAAAGCTATTTTTTGTTTGTTTATTTCTATTCCTTCTATTATCTCACACTCTACCTATATATATCTTGTTCAAATTTTCAATCGTTCATAAAATACTTTTTATTCATCCACTCAGGTTCAAATACATTTTTTTTAACTTTTAGTGGATGGCACGTGATGTTAATACATTTTTTTTCAAATATTAATTCATTCATTAAATTTAATTAATTAATTTTAGTTTTTTTTTAGATTTAAGTTGCATATATCTACCAATAGAGGGCGTCAGATGAATTTAAAAAAATGAATGAAAATTATTTATAAAGTACTTTCTGCAATAGAGTGAAAAAAAAATAGGAATTGACCTTAAAATTTTTATATTACTTGTTTTTTTGTTTTTGTTTTTTTTAAACTTTTTATAAATTGATGTACACTATTTTCAGTTTTTGGTCATTTTATGATATTATTATGTGATCTAAACCTGTATGTAATTTACACTATTTATTTAGGCCAAGGGTGGCCAACCCTCGGCTAGCCATGAATATTTTACCGGTCCGTGAGATTTATCACACTTTTAAAAAATAAATTTATTTTATAATGGCCAAAGTAGTGAAAATCAATGTATTAAAAAAAGACATTATGTGAGCATCCATATATTCAAAAATGAACTGTCGAAATTATAAGAAAAAATGAACTTTGATATTAAAATGAACTTTGATATTTAGATATTGCCTGTTTTATTGATGAGTTTACAGTTCTGAGTTCGCATAATAATTAAATTTTATTCTGCGCATCTCGACTCTATGTTTCACTTCAAGTGACCTCGGTGACGCAGTGACCATCCCTAGATAGGTATAGTGGATTGTTGATAGCAAACTCTTAATTGAAGTTGTTAGCGCTTTTGGTTCAATTTACACCTACGAATCGTTTATCTTTCGATAATGAAATTGACCCAACACAAAATACTGTCAAACATAACGGACACAACACCCATTACGATGTGCAAATGCTCAAATTTAGATCGATTTGCAAAAGCTAACTGAAAGAGTGGAAAAGCAAATATCGCACTACTAAAATAATTATTTTTTAATGATGTCATTTTTTTTTTATTTGGATTATATTTATATATTTTTTATATTTCATTTTTACGGTTATATATTTCTTTACAATGTGCGTTTAATATTATTATTATTATATTATCTATGTTTGCATGTATGAATAATAGTCAATACAAAAGTAATAACTCATTATGTTTCCATTTTTCACACCCAAAAAATGTCTGTAGGGAGTCTAAATCTAATAGGGGGATATATAATTTTATATGCGGCCCATGGAGTTAGGATACAGTTCCAAAGTGGCCTGCAAGATCATTTGGGTTGGCCACCCCTGATTTAGGCTTTGCTAATGAAAATTATATTTTTTCGGAGTGACAATAGTTCAATTACTTTAAAATAGTAATGCTTTTTTACCTACTATTCTTTTTTAAATTAGGCATTATTGAAGCTTTCATCTTTTTCTAATTATTTTTCTAAGTATTTTGCCGAAAGCTGGGCACTTTGT